AGTCCCGCATCGGGCTCCCTGCTCCTTGGGAGCCTGCTTCTCGCTCTGCCTCTCTCTCTCATGAATAAATAAATAAAATCTTTAAAAAAAAAAAAATTGTTCTGGAATTAGAAGTAATGGTTGCGCTTGTACTACACCTTGTAAATATACTAAATACTGATTTATATACTTTAAAAGAGTGAATTTATAGTATGTGAACTAAATTTCAACAAAGCACAGCAAGAAAGTAATAAAAAATAAAAGTAGAAATTAATGATACAGAGAACAAAAAAAATAAATCTAGTTCTTTGGAAAACATTAGCAAAATAGATAAATATCTAACCTAATGAAGAACAAAAAGAGAGCACAAATTTGTAAATAGGAAATGACAAGACAGAAATAACCATTGAAACAAAGGAAATATTTTTTAAAATGACAAACTACTTTGTACCCTTCTGTGCAAATACATTTGCAAACTTGGATATTTTCCCTGGAAAATACAGTTTGTCAAAATTGACTCCAGAAGAAAGACTAATTTCTTTGGAGAATTAGAGAATATTATAAAAGAATTACCTCTAGAGGAAAGCACCAGGCCCAGTGATTTCACAGGGGGATTTTTACGAAATCTTCAAAAACCAGATAGTCCAAATGCTGTTTTAAATTGTTTTGGAGCATAGAAAATGAAGGAAAACATCCAGTTTTTTTGAGGAATATTATGTAACAATGTTCACTAAACTCCATGAGTTTAGTGCTATCACGAAACAAATTAAATTTCATTATCCACTTACAAATACCGATACGAAAAATTCTAAGTGAAATATTATCAAACAATTCAGTTTCACATTAAGAAAATAATACCATGACCAACTGTAATTTATTCCAGGATTGCAAGGATGGTTCTTATTTAGCAATTCATTAATAAAATTCACTATATTCATATATCTAAGGAGGAAAATCATACCATTATTTCCATAGATGCCGAAAAAGCCTTTGACAAACTATAACATCCACTTGAGATAAAAACAACCAAGAAAATAAGAATTGATGGATACTACCTTAATACATATATATGTATGTATATATTTGTATACATGCATGCATACATACATACATACACATAATGGGAAAATAAGATGCATTCCCACTAAAGCAAGCTTACTCATTATCTCCACTACAATTTAACATTCAGCTGAAAGTATCACCCAATGACTTTAGATAAGCATAAGCAGTCAGAATCATAAGAATTGGGAAAAATGTAAAAGAATTTTTTTTTTTAAAGATTTATTTATTTATTTGACAGAGACATAGCAAGAGAGGGAACACAAGCAGGGGGAGGGGGAGAGGGAGAAGCAGGCTTCCTGCCGAGCAGGGAGCCTGATGCGGGGCTCGATCCCAGGACCCCGGGATCATGACGTGAGCGGAAGGCAGACGCTTAACGACTGAGCCACCCAGGTGCCCCGTAAAAGAATTTTTTAAAAAAGATTTTTAAATTTATTTTTGAAAGGGGGGGGGAGATCGAGTGGGGGAGGGCAGAGGGAGAAGCAGACTCCCCGCTGAGTAGAGAGCTCGATGTGGGGCTTGATCCCAGGACCCTGGACCTGAGCCAAAGGCAGATGCTTAACGGGCTGAGCCACCCAGGTGCCCCTGTAAAAGAATTTCTATTGGTAGATGATAGGCTAATATACTTGAAAAACTGTAGAGAGTTATCAATAAAACTAACTCAGATAACAGGCTAATTCAGTAAGATAGGAGGATATAAAGTCAACATATAAAAAATAATTTTCATATAATAAGCAATAACCAGGTAGAAGATTTGTTGGAAAACCCAACTTACAATAGCAACAGAAAAAGATAATATATTTAGGAATAAGCATAATGAGAAATGTATAAACCAATAAAGAAAAACCTTGAAACACTCCAGAAAGACACAAAAATGTAGTAGATTTAAACAAATGGAAAGCATCCCGTATTTATCTGGTAGGTTGCCTTAGTATTACAAAGATTTCAGTTCTCTCTAGATTATTTTATAAATTTAATGATATCCCAAAGGAATGCCAAGAACTTGCTTGTTTTTTTAACTACAAAAGTTCATACTAATGTTCATATGGGAAAATAAACATATAAAAACAGCTAAGAAGAGGTGCCTGGGTGGCTCAGTTGTTAAGCATCTGCCTTGGACTCAGGTCATGATCCAGGTCCTGGGATCGAGCCTCTCATTGAGCTCCCTGCTCAGCGGGAAGCCTGCTTCTCCCTCTCCCACTCCCCCTGTTTGTGTTCCTGCTCTTACTGTCTCTCTCTGTCAAATAAATCTTTAAAAAAAAAAAAAAAGCTAAGAAAAGTCAGGGAGGAAAAAAGCAACTATAAGCATTTAGTATCCCTACTAGATAGTAACATACTCTATAGCCTCTGTAATTATAACAGTGTGATTCTGGTGCATGAATAAACAGACCAGTGAGAAAGAATAGAAAGTTCAAGCATAGACCTTTATGTATATAGACTTCTAGGATATGATAAAAATCATATTTCAAATAATTAGAGCAAACAAATTTGTTTTGACAAGTGATCAGGCATTTGGAAAATGATAAAATTGGGTCCATATGTTAAAAACCTTTTTAAATAGAGGCATTGAACACACATTCATTTTTGGAACTCAGTATTTTTGCTGAAAAATGAAACTTTAATTTGTCTAACCTAGAAGTCAAAACATTTTTAAATACACAGGAGGGGCGCCTGGGTGACTCAGTCATTAGGCGTCTGCCTTCGGCTCAGGTCATGATCCCAGGCTCCTGGGATCAAGCCCCAGGCTCCTTGCTCAGCGGGAAGCCTGCTTCTCCCTCTCCCACTCCCTCTGCTTGTGTTCCCTCTCTTGCTGTGTCTCTCTCTGTCAAATAAATAAAATCTTTAAATAAATAAATAAATACATACATAGGAGGTAAGTATATTTTTAAATTACCTTTCATTTAGTGTTTCATAACGAGTATTGCCTTGAACTAAATTTATCTCTGCCAACTAAAGTGATCTTATATTTTCTAGTTTTAGCATGTGAGTAAATGTTTATAATTTCTTATATTAGTTTTGCTATTTATTGATTACTAGCTCATTTTTAAGTATTTATACCTGAATTAATCTGTAATGTTATTTAAGTGATCGACTGTTAAAGACTCTTAATGAGGGCGCCTGGGTGGCTCAGTTGGTTAAGCGACTGCCTTCGGCTCAGGTCATGATCCTGGAGTCCCGGGATCAAGTCCCGCATCGGGCTCCCTGCTCAGCAGGGAGTCTGCTTCTCCCTCTCCCGCTCCCCCTTCTCATGTGCTCTCTCTCACTCTCTCTCTCAAATAAATAAAATCTTTAAAAAAAAAAAAAAGACTCTTAATGAGATAAAATGTCTTTATTTTTCTTTTGAAATGATTACTCTAACTTGAATCATATTTTTAACATGGAGTTTGAGATCCTCATGTGTGCTTTACTTTTGCTTCTTACTTAACAGCATCTTCGTTACAGCATCCTCAGGAGACTGATGAAAAAAGATTACTTAAACCAATGTATTGTTTCCTTATCACCACGGAACCCTTTCCCCTTTATTTTTTTCTCCTACTCTGCTGGTTTCATATACGCTTTTCAGTCTTCTTCTTTTAAGTAATAGCTATTCCTTGTTGACTTACTTAAGTATCTGTCCTCTATCCTTGAAACGTTACCCTGAGTTCTTTTATCTTCTTGATTGCTTCCTTACCTTGTAAATATACTTGTTATTGTACATACCATATGATATTTTAATTACTTATTTACATGTCTATTTTCCCCTTAGACAGGGAACTTGCTGGGAGAAGTCTATGTCTTACTTGTTTTTGTATACTCATGTAATAATTCTCAGTAACTGCTTAATGGATTAAAGATTAAAACTTTCTAAATGATTATAATCCCACAGAATGTATTATGAACTATATTGTGTGAACTCATCAAAAAAGAGCTGAAAAGACTTGCAGATATCAGAATTTAATTTTATCAATGTTTATATCATATATTCCTTAACATTAAGTTAGTTTCTATTTAGGAAAATATACTAGTTTGCTGAAGTTATGTAAAAATTTTCTTTCTACTTTTAGGAAAAACTGATAAAATATGCAACAGATAGTGAAACAGTGGAACCTGTTATCTCACAGTTGGTGACAGTGCTTTTGAAAGGGTGTCAAGATGCAAACTCTCAAGCTCGGTTGCTCTGTGGGGAATGTTTAGGGGAATTGGGGGCAATAGATCCAGGTCGACTAGATTTCTCAACAACTGAAAGCCAAGGAAAAGATTTTACATTTGTGGTAAGTAATGGTAATTTGAAATGACAAGAAGAGTTCTCTGTCCTATTTGAATTTCTATATTTCATTTACAAAGAACTATTCAGGTTATCCTTAGTGGCAATATGATCTAAACTAGACAATTTAGGTAACTTCATAGTTTATTCCTTAATACTATTTGCAGATATCTAGTGCCAAAAACAGTAAAGTTGGAGTCCAGACTAGTGTGCTGTGTTTTTAAAAAGCTTCCCAACCTAATGATGACAAATAGTTAAAACCTAATTAATTATTTAAATATTACTATTTCAACACTATTGCTAAGTGTTTTCATGGGAAACTAATTTCCCAGGGTGTCATAATAGTGAGTGTATAGAAAAGTTTCCATGGTCAAATGTGTTTGAGAAATCCTGTAAAACAGAATCAAACAGAACATCTGATGTATCATTTAATGTATGCACTATGCACATCCAAAAGGAGGGTATGTTAAAATTATTTCTTCAAGTGTCTCAAATGACTAGGCTTCTACAGCATGCAATTTAGGAAATGCTGTATATACAATTTTCTTTTTAAAGGTTAAAAAAAAACAGAAATGAGGGGCACCTGGCTGGCTTAGTCGGAAGATCGTGTGATTCTTGATCTCAGGGTCACATTGAGTGTAGAGATTACTTAAAAATAAAATCTTCAGCAACAACAACAAATCAAAACCAAAAAAAAAAGAAAATTGTTGGAGCTCTGCAGGAGTCGAACGATTCTAATACTCTTTATAAAGTCTAAAAAGCCTTAGGTTTGGTTTCTTGGCTACAGATTATGTTTTAGCCTTGGTACTAAACTTAGTTTAAACCTTAATGTCCTTTCCTTTTCTAAGTTAAATTCACCTAGGTAACTAAGTTAAATTAACCATGTAAGGCACAGTACAGTTTAAAAAAATTTATGCACCTTAGACTTGATTTTTTTCTTTTTCTTTTCTTTTTTTTTATTGAGACTGGAGTAGAAGATTCAATCTTCGCCTTTGGATTATTGATGGAACTAACAAGAGCTTACCTTGCATATGCAGATAATAGCCGGGCTCAAGATTCAGCTGCTTACGCCATTCAGGTAAGAGTATGTATAGTCAGTACTGGCTTTGTGTTACTGAATTCTAGTAAGAAAGTTGTAAATCTGTATGTTGAAACTTATTTTTGCAAACTATCATTAGCAAAGTTCATAATGATCATAATATAAGTTCATGATAAAATTTCAGAGTATAGAAGTGTACTCTCTCAACAGATTATTATAGATACTTTGGAAAATTTTCTGTGTATTTAACAAATATATATGTCTTTTCCACCACACAAGGAGGTCATATTACTTATGATGTTCTGTAACTTGATTTTCTTTTGTGTTCAATAGTCTATCTTGGGTAATTTTCCGTTTCAGTACATAGGTCTCTAATTCATTCTTTTCAGTTACTTAATATTCAATATGGATGTACCATAATTTGTTTAAGAAATTTATTTAACACATTTAGAATGTGTTCAATGTTTTGCTTTTATAAGAAATGCTTCAGAGAACATACATATATTTCTGAGCACTTGAGTGAATATAGCAATAATATAAACATCTAGAAGTTAAAATATGTCACAGAGCAGTACAGAATTTACATTTGATAAATTTTATCAAAAAAAGTTTCCCCAGTTTATACTTCTTTGACATACCGGCCTTTTATCAGAATTTTAAATCTTTGTCAATGTGACAGAGTAAAAAATAGTACCATTTTACTGTAATAGCATTTAATTATGAGAGAGGTATATCATCATCCTTTAATATTTATTGCTTTTTTGGGCAAATTTTCTCTAGATGGATCTTTGCCCATTTTTCTCTTGGTATAGATCTTTTTTATTGCTATTTAAGACTTATTTGTGTATAATAGAAATTAACCCTTTGTCAATCATACATGTAATAAATATTTTTCCAGTTTGGCTTTCTTTGCCCTTTTTTTATGATTTTTTTTCAAAAATTTATTTTAAAAAATTTTCTTTGTTTTGTTAGATATTCAGGTCTGGAATTCATGATGAGTGGTCTCAGTTTCAGATATAAATATGGAGGTATTCATTATAGAGATGGTATTTAAAATTGTGATCCTGGATAAGATGATCAAGAGTGGGAGTACAGGTAAAAAGATTCTAGTAATTGAGCCCTGGACACTGAGAGATCAGTGAGAAAAGCAGGGAATAAGTAAGAAAACTGAGAAGGGGCTGCCAGTAAGGTAGGAGAACGTGGTGTTTCAGAAGACAAGAAAGTGTCTTTAAGGGAGAGTGGAAGAATGAAATAGTAGCTGGGAAGGAAAGAGGAGTGAAGATAGGAGAAATAACAGTATGCTTATATGTTGCTTGGGAACAATTCAGAGAGGAGAATAGATGATGTAGGAAAGAATTGATGTAATACTACTTTTAATAGGCAGAAAGATGTGGAATATAATGTGCAAGTGGAGGGGTAGCCTTAATTAAAAACAAAAGCAATTCATCTGTAGTAAGAGGAGAGAAGGCTGGGTAGGTATGTGGGTAGGAGTTATGGAAGTCTCTTTGGATTGCTTCTGTTCTTTTCAGTGAAATACGAAGCAAGGTCTACAATTGTAGGTATATTAGTCTTTTTTAAGAGTATAAATGGTCCCCCCTAAAAAGAGAGAATTGCTGATCTGCCTAAGAGGGTTTTTGTAGCTAGAGTGACTTTGCCAAACATCAAAAAAGCTGGCTTCAAATAAAATTTTACTAATATTTTGAAGTTAAATGAAAATGGGTTCTGAATATTTCTGTATTTGAACTTCTCATATACTTCCTTTTACTAAAAAATACTAAATATAAAGTATGTATTTTTCTAGACAGTGCTTATATTTATAAATATTAGGAATACATCTATTGCAAATGGTTATGTTCAGTGGAATTGGAAAGAAAGAGTAATTAGGTGATAGAAGATAGAATATCCTAACATATTTGTCTTGTTTTGAATATTAATATTAGAGGCAAAGATTTTTTTCATTTATAAAATCTCAGTTTTATTTTCAGGAAAGTAAAATAAAACCATTTAATTTGGGGGCTTGAATAGTAAAATGGTCTTTAACATTTGCATGTTCTTTTCATAATTTCTTTTTTAAGTAAAACTCTTATCACCAGCGTGGGGCTTGAACTCACAACCCTGAGATCAAGAGTCGTATATTCTACCTGCTGAGCTAGCCAGGAGCCCCTTCTTTTCACAATTTTAAGCTCAGTATTTTATACCTAGAATTTGAGATATTTTGAATTTTTAAAACTATTTTGGATTTGTAGTTGATTTTGTTAATCAAAGAATTATACTGCTGCAAATATAGACAAATCCACTTTTTCCTCCAAATAGCTCTTAATCTTAGATTCCAGTACATATTATATGTATAGAACACAAACTGCCTTCATGTTCAAGTAGTACGTAGTCACAGCTTTATGACCTTAAATAGTCACCTAAATGGTTTTAAGCATTGAAATAGATGTCCTAAGGAAGTTCGCAACCCCCAAATTTTATAATTCTATATATTTAAAAATTATTTTTATCACAATTATGTATAGAATGTTGATGAGCATAAAGATTTATCTGCTTCACTATAGATTTACAAATGTAAAATAATGTATTTGTAGGAGTTACTTTCTATTTATGACTGTAGAGAGATGCAGACTGATGGCCCAGGTCACCAGCTGTGGAGGAGATTTCCTGAGCATGTTCGGGAAATCCTGGAACCTCATCTAAATACTAGGTCTGTAAACTCATTAAAACCATTTTTATAAAATTGTTTTTAACTTTATAAAATTAGTGTCATTTTTTTTTTTTTTAAAGATTTTATTTATTTGACAGAGAGAAACACAGCGAGAGAGGGAACACAAGCAGAGGGAGGGGGAGAGGGAGAAGCAGGCTTCCCGCCGAGCAGAGAGCCCGATGTGGGGCTCGATCCCAGGACCCTGGGATCATGACCTGAGCCGAAGGCAGACGCTTAACGACTGAGCCACCCAGGCGCCCCTAATGTCATTTTTTTAAAGATTTATTTATTTATTTTAGAGAGCGCAAGAGATCGTGCATGTGCGGGAGGAGGGGCAGAGGGAGAGAGAATCTTCAAGCAGACTCCCCACTCAGTGCAGAGCCCAATGTGGGTCCCGATCCCACCACCCATGAGACCATGACTTGAGCCGAAACCAAGAGTCAGACGCTTAACCAACTGAGCCACCCTAGGCGCCTTATAAAATTAATGTTACGTTTGATATAATTTTTTAGCATTAAAAGTATTTTCAGTAGTCTGATAATGTATTTTCCACTGGGATGATGCCTATAATCTTGTCAAAATGAAAAGTACAGTCTGCTCATTGGTTAAATTCTATAATTTTAAATATTTAGATGAATTTATTGAAGCTAAAATGATTGATTTTTTTTAATTCAGTCAGTGATACTTTGAAAGAATCCACTCTAAATTGAATATGAGTTTAATAAGCTTTTGATAGGCATAATTAATATAGAAATTTAAGAGTTTAAAGCTAGTTCCAAAGCCATTAGTAACCCCAACTAGAGATTAGAGATTTCAACCCTCCAACTTCTCTTCATGAAGATATTTTCTCCCTCTTCTTTTTTTTTTAAAAAAAAAAAAAGTATATTCTAACCTCTTTTTCAATTTTAATAATTCTGTTAGGACTGATTGAAATCTGGACACCTGGGTGGCTCAGTCGATTAAGCATCTGCCTTCGGCTCAGGTCATGATTCCAGAGTCCTGGGATTGAGTCCCCCATCGGGCTCCCTGCTTAGCAGGGAGCCTGCTTTTCCCTCTGCCTGCCGCTCCCCCTGCTTGTGCCTTCTCTTTCTCTCGCTCTGTCTGACAAATAAATAAAATCTTTAAAAGAGGGGCGCCTGGGTGGCTCAGTCGTTAAGCGTCTGCCTTCAGCTCAGGTCATGATCCCAGGGTCCTGGGATCGAGCCCTGCATCAGGCTCCCTGCTCTGCAGGGAGCCTGCTTCTCCCTCTCCCACTCTCTATGCTTGTGTTCCCTATCTCGCTGTGTCTCTCTGTCAAAAAATAAATAAAAAATCTTAAAAAAAAAAAAAATCTTTAAAAGACTGATTGAAATCTATAAAATTATAGAGTATACTTGGTCACATACTTACTAGATATGTGACCATGGATAAATTACTTTACTTCTTTGAGCTCTGGTATAGTGCCTAGCCTTGTAGTAATTTCTTTATAAAAGCCCTTAAGTATGCATACCTATTTGCTAGATATCTCTTTATATTTAGAAACCTTTTAAATTTAGAACCTTTTATGTGTAGAAACAGATGGGCACAGCTGGTAAAAACAATGAAGCAATGGAATGGGTAGAGAATATTAATAAGAGAGTTCTTGAAGTGAAGGACCATGAAGACCACGCTGGTTAAGGAAAGAAGTAATGAACATATTACAGATCAGGAGAGTTTAACAGGGTCAAGGGACAGAAGATCTCAGTGATAGAGAGCCAATGTGTTAGCATAACTGGGTGAAAGAACTAGAAATTTAGGAAGGTAGGGCTATAGAGTAAGATACCTAAGTAGTTCATTTTGGAAGTGAAGAAGTTTTTTTGTATTGGCAAGGGAGTCCTGATAAAGAAACAGAGGAAAAAGTCATTGGGAAGTTTTGAGTTTGATTAGTTGGTCCAGCCAGCCATTGAAGTCACTCAGGATGGTAAGACATAGGGAAAAAAGAAAACCCAGAAATGTACTAAAGTTATCAGTGAGTTTGATAATCAGCGAGTTTAATAGATACCCATAATTGAGGAGTAGAGAATGGTATGCCTGGGTGGCTTGAACCTCAAAGGAACAAATCTTTCTTATACAAAATGGAGTAGAAAGGATCAGAAAGGAGCACTGAGGAAGAGGAGGAGGCAGACTCAAATCCTTTAAAGTACTTGGGGCATGCAGGATGACTTTCCACCCCACTATTAACAAGGATATAGGAAGAGTAGTGTCTTTAGCCATATTTTAGTAAAGCAAGGCAGTAGTGGAATAGTGGTGAAGGAGTTGATAAAGTTTTTTATATGTTTTATACTGAAGTTCTCAACAGATGGATATATATATATATATATTAATAAGCAAATTTTCAAAATTACAGGTATAAGAGTTCTCAGAAGTCAACAGATTGGTCTGGAGTAAAGAAGCCAATTTACTTAAGTAAATTAGGTAATAACTTTGCAGAATGGTCAGCATCTTGGGCAGGTTATCTTATAACAAAGGTAAGAGAACTCTTCAGAATTAATTTAATGAACAGAAATTTTAAAGGAAACCAGAACATCTATCTGAATATATAGCACAATAGCAGGCACTGAAATATGTGTGCTGATAGTGATAGAAATTTTTGTAGAAAGTGTTTACAATAGTAACAATTTCTCTATTGTTACTAGTTTCTGGGTAAGAGGGTAATTATTTTATCAAGCAAATTACTATGGTCTTTGCAAAATATCTATTACATTATGTCTGTTCATTTTCCATTGTGAAATGATACTGTTTAAAAAGTGACCAACTGAGGGCGCCTGGGTGGCTCAGTTGGTTAAGCGACTGCCTTCGGCTCAGGTCATGGTCCCGGAGTCCTGGGATCGAGTCCCACATCGGGCTCCTGGCTCAGCGGGGAGCCTGCTTCTCCCTCTGACCCTCTCCCCTCTCATGCTGTTTCTCTTTCTCTCTCTCTCAAATAAATAAATAAATAAAATCTTTAAAAAAAAAAAAAAGTGACCAACTGAGCCACATAGGTGCTCCAAGTTTCTTGTATTTTTATGAACATACTGAAAATATATTATGTGAAATGTAGAATACCATTAAATTAATTACTTCCAGATCTGGAATCTTTGATTTAGTTTAGTTTTTTGTTGTTGTTGTTGTTTTTTAAGTTTTTAAGTGTTGTTTTTTAAGTGTTTGTATTTGAGAAGGAAAAAATCTTGAAATTTTAGTAAGAGAACAGTAATGTTGGCAAATCTAATGTTAGGTCATAACAATAAAATTTGACTCTAATCCCAAGTAATTTAGTTTTCTATTTTTCATTTTTCTCCCTATAGTAATTACTGCTTATTATTATTAAAAATGTGAATCTTACACTTAATGTACTGGCCCAGAGTATACATTTTGGTTACTTTACTCATCTCTGTGCTCTGGGAGTTAATACCCTGAATTTAATGTTATCTAACTAAAATATACTGTAATTCGGGAGGTTAATCTGTAACAAAACATGATGCATCCAAAATAACTAAGGGGGAAAGGCCATTTATGTTGAGGTGATTGACATTGCCTTTATGGGTCACAGCAGTTCAGGCATTTTGAAATATTTAGAGTGACCAGAGAGGTGGTGATCTGAAATCCTTTTTGCATGAGTATGCATGCCCCTCTCCATACAAGAATACCCACTCTGCAATGATAAATGATCTCGTGTGGTTTTTTGACATTAATCAAATAGAGTAAAATGTATAAAATTACTTACTGTCCCTAAACCATTTGGGTTTACAGGTTCGGCATGATCTTGCCAGTAAAATCTTCACCTGCTGTAGCATTATGATGAAACATGATTTCAAGGTGACCATCTATCTTCTTCCACATATTCTAGTGTATGTCTTGTTGGGTTGTAATCAAGAAGATCAGCAGGAGGTGAGAGATACCATTTTATTTGGTTTCTGTTTGTCCAAACATTTGTCCACTAGTAATTAGTATTAGAAAAGCTACATGTTAGGAAATGTAGATCAGTGTATGGCTAGCTGTGTATGTACATGTCTAATTCTTAAAAATCTTTTTAACCTTTTATTTATCGAACAATTATCCAATGCTTAGTGCAGAAAATTAGAAAGTATATATTATATATGCCCCAATATACATAGAACATTTTGAAATAAAGAATACATAAGAAATTACTGATAGTGATTTTTCCTGGTGAATAGTACTGTGGATTAGGATAGGGGAAGGGGAATATTTTAGTTTTTGTTTTACAATATTTTGTAAAAGTTTCCTTTTTTAACCACATAGATATAACACTTCTTTTAAAAATGATTATTTTTTTTTTAAGATTTATTTACTTACTTGAGAGAGAGAGAAAACAGGATTGGGGAGAGGGGCAGAGAGAGGGCGCCCAACACAGGTCTGAGCACAGAGCCCAATGCAGGGCTCGATCCCACGTCCTTGAGATTATGACCTAAGCCAAAATCAAGAGTTGGATGCTTAACTGACTGAGCCACGTGGTGCCCCCCAAAATGATTATTTTTTATAGCATAAGTAGTAAGAAACCAACTGAGAGTTTTGGAGGGGAGGGGGGTGGGGGGATGGGTTAGCCCAGTGATGGGTATTAAGGAGGGCACTGCATGGAGCACTGGGGGTTGTACGAAAACAATAAATCGTGGATCACTGCATCGAAAACTGGTGATGTATAGTGACTAACATAATTAAAAAAAAAAAAAGTAGTGTATTACTATGTTCTTAATGTAAATATTTGAATTCTACAAATAAAAGTGTACCCTTTGACTACCATTCCTGATCCCACATCCCCAGAGGTCATCACTGATATTAATTTGATATGTATATTTTCAAGGGTGCCTGGGTGGCTCAGTTGGTTAACCATCTGCCTTCAGCTCAAGGCATGATCCCAGAGTCCTGGGATCAGGCCCTGCATCAGGCTCCCTGCTTAGCAGGGAGCCTGCTTCTCCCTCTCCCTCTGTTGCTCCCCCTGGTTGTGCTTTCTCTCTCTCTCTCTCTCTGTCAAATAAATAAAATCTTTAAAAAAAAATTTTTTTTGATGTGTAGATTTTCAAACCTTTTTATTTTTTAATGCAGTTGTTAATCTGTTGAATAGTACTGTGTACTATTACTGTGTACAGTATACTGTGTATACTGTTGAATAGTACTGTGTACTATCAAAAAAAAAAGGTTTTTTTGATAGTATCATAGTAGGTATTCTGCAACTTGCCTTTTTTTAAATTTACCAATATATATTTATTGAGCCACCTTTTTTTTATTAATGCTGTGTTATATAATCCTTCCATTTTGTAGTTGTACCATAGTTTAACTGTTGCCATAATAATGATTATTTCCAATTATTTTGTTCTTACAATGCCATGGTATGCATTATGATGATTTTTACTTGTGAAAGCGTTTGTGTATGTGTTTAGGGTGTATTCCAAAAAATAGAACCATTGGGTTATATGGTATTGTACATTTAAAATTTTATTAGAGACTATAAATTCATCTGTTCTGACTTATAGTTGCCTTAGAATGCTTGGTCTTACATGTAAGATAATAGCAAAATGATATTACATGGTACATTATTAACCATAAAATGAGTTCTTCTTAGGTTTATGCAGAAATTATGGCAGTCCTAAAGCATGATGATCAACATACCATAAGTACCCAAGACAGTGCATCTGATCTATGTCAACTCAGTACACAGACTGTGTTCTCCATGCTTGACCATCTCACACAATGGGCAAGACACAAATTTCAGGCACTGAATGCAGAGAAATTTCCACAAAGCAAATCAAACAGAGATAAAGTAGATTCAGTTGGTGAGTCATAACTTGTGTTTGTTTTCTTCTCTTAATTATTAACCAGTTAGCTACTTCCTGTATCAATTCTGTAATTTAAGCATTAGCTTTTTAAAGACCTGTATTTTCCTACGTACCTTTTTTTTCCCCGAGGTAGCCTTTTCACTGAGAAAAAGCAGAGAATTTATAGTCAGAAAACCTCTCTTTAAATTCTCACTACCTTAGGCAAGACAGATGCCTAATTTGTCTTTGTATAACATAGGATTAATATTATTTCCCTTAGAGGACTGAGGATTAAATGAGATGATGAATATATAAATTGTAAAATGTGAAATAAATGACGTTAATATTGTTAATAACTGACCCCTCAATGCTTAAACCGTTTACTCCATGTCTCCTCAGTGTATTGTGTGTATTTACTCTGTGTCCCCTCAGTGTACTATGTGTATATACACATACATATACATACAGATGTATACATACATATATATATGTAGTAAAGTGTTCTTTATCCTTTTTCACTTATGACGTACTCTGCAATCTTTTTCACATGTAAGTTTTAAATTTCAACTGTTAATTTCATTTCATGGCCTATTCTTTTTTTCTACTCTATTCATTTCATTCATTTTATTTTTTTGTTTTTCCTGTCTCTGGTAGTGTTTGGTATCCAGCGGTCTCTCCAAATATGCTTAATACATGTTACTACATTACACCCTGCTATACCAAATATGTGCAGGTTTTTTCCTGTGGTATTACAACTTCCACTAAGGTGACTAAAAGTGGAATCTCATTAGAGTTAAAAATGCCCGCTAGGATAGAAGCATTTGGTGAGCAGAATTATATTCATTCTGCTTCTGTATATCTCAGCTATTTTAATGGAAATCACATGTTTTGCCCCTAGACTTTGAGGCTAATTGAAAAAAGTGACTGTTTAACAATCCTTAAAGAGACCTTCACTTACGCAGTTCTCAGTTTGTGCGTGTCTCCCTCTTGTTCATGTACGTGAGGAAAGCACATAATTCCTATTGTTAAGCACAATAGCTTATTTTTCTGAAAGTTTTTGGACTTGCAAATAAATATCTGGGGGGATTGTCTTTCTGAGGAGTATGGCTAATTATTGATATATTTTCCATTGATTTAACAATTTGATGTTTGTTCCTATTTCTGCATGTGTAAATGGTTCTATAAAACCAAATACAACCTCTATCTCCATTTCTGCTAACATTAACATTACAAGGGAAATACTAGTTTTTAAGAATAACATTTGTAATGGTTCAAAAATACAGTACTTTTAACATTTCTCATAATTTAAATGATCTACAAATTTTGATGGAATCAGGGACTTATTTTAAATATAATTGCTTTTAAATTTGCCATCTTGATTATTTAAATTTTGAAGAAACTTATCCTATTCTCTACATACTGTTATGAATTGCTACTAAAATTTATAAGTTTTAAATAAGAATTCATAAACGGGACTGCCCTCATTTTGAAGTTTCCAATTTAAGTCTTTTCTTAGATTCTTGAAAAAAATTACCCTAAAGTATTTGTGATTTTACTTCAAAGGCACTTCTACTTTGAATTTTCGTTAAAACAGTCGATATTGTTTATGTGGCAACAGAGGAAAAAGATTGTTAACAATTCTAGGCTTTAAAAAGAAGCTATTTCGGTAATTCTGCTTTTTCCCTACTGTTATACTGTCAGTGTTTTTATAGTCATCATTAATATATAACTCATCTTTGTATCTTTTGTATCATCTTTGTATCTTTTCAGCATTTAATACAGATTTACTCTTAGAGTTTTTTTAAGTTTTTATTTAAATTTCAGTTACTTAACACACAGTGTAATATTAGTTTCAGATGTACAATATAGTGATTCAACGCTTCCATATATCAGCTGGTGCTCATCACAAGTGCACTCCTTAATCCCCATCATCTATTTCACCCATCCCTCCAGCCACCTCTCCTCTGGTAACCATCAGTTTGTTCTCTAAAGAGTCTGTTTCTTGGTTTCTCTCTCTCTCTCTTTTTCTCCTTTGTTCGTTTGTTTTGTTTCTTAGATTCCACATATGAGTGAAATGATATGGTATAATACAGATTTACATTTAATCCTCACAACAACATTGTAAGGAAGGCAGGACAATACTAATACTTCCCTTTTATATATGAAGAAGCAGAAGCTCAAATAAAGTTAAATATTTCCAAGTAAGATAAGTGATAATGATGGAGTTGGAGCAAGACTCCTCTGAGTAATCCTCTGGTAGTTACATTCTAAGTATGATACTCTAATACATTTAGATTAATTTATTTAGTGAACTAAATTGAATTTAAATAAATTAGACTTTAAATCAACACTTTTAAAATTTCATCTTATAAGTCTTTAATCACTCAATTTTCTTTTTATAATCTAGTATCTACTGCGGATTATGAAGACTATCAGAGTGTAACTCGTTTTCTAGACCTCATACCTCAGGACACTCTGGCAGTAGCTTCCTTTCGCTCCAAAGCATACACACGAGCTGTAATGCACTTTGAATCATTTATTACAGAAAAGAAACAAAATATTCAAGAGCATCTTGGATTTTTACAGGTTTGAAATTAATACAGTAAATTTAATGATGTTTAATATTGCAAGTCTTTTATGTTTATATTGTTCATTATATTGAGTGTTTTAGATGCTATGCTAGCTACTAGATATTTATGAGCACTTTAGAAGCTTACAGATTAGTGGGGAGAGATAAACATCAATTTGGTGTAAAGTGATATATATGTGCCCTGAGGAAAGGCACTTAAGTTATCCTCTGTGTGGGGTAGGAGATGGGAGTGACCAAGGGGTCAGTACGGGCTTCTTGGAGACAATGTCTAAGCTGGGTCTTAAAGAATGGATGGTAGATAGGTAAAAGAAGGAGGTAAGATATTTCAAATAGAGGCATCAGTATGGAGTTGGAAATGGTGGTATGCCATGGTCAGAATGGTATTTTAGCTAAATGACTATGACAGTCATGGAGGGAGGGTTTGAAATAGCTATGATGCAAGGGAAGCAGGCCATTGCTATTCTTATGAGAAATGTGGGCCTGAATTTGGGGTGGATGGGAAGGGGAATGTGCTGGTTGTAACAGGAATCAGGCATGACAGTGCTGGTGAAATGATGGCTTAGGTAATAATATTTTGATTGTGTGGGGAAGGAAAAAAAAGGGAAGGTGGGGCTAATACAGGGTGATTAAATAAGAAATTGGTAGACTTTTTTTTCAAGTCAAAAGCAAAAAGTAGTGAGAAACTGAAAAATTAGTAGGTTATAGTCTTTTTTTTTTTAAGTTTTTATTATTCATTTAAGTAATCTCTACACCCTACATGGGGCTCGAACACACAATCCTGAGATCAAGAGTCTCATGCTCCTTCTGCTGTGCCAGCCAGGCACCCCGGTAGCTTATAGTCTTTGGATGAATATAGCCTTCATCCAAAATGTAGCCTTCTCCTGTCTTTATTTTTCTCCTTGTTTAGCTTTGAGTCTGTTGTTCATTATTAAAATCATTCCCTTACAAAGATGTTCACCCTTGTCTTTCTCCCTCTATGTGATAACTCACTTTGTAAAATACCGTCCTTGGATAAACTCATCCATCTGCCTTGCCAGTGTCTTGCATTTAAGCAGTTGAACATTGCTGGAGAAACGTCACAGTGGATTTTTAACTGCTTTTACTTGAAGTTTATAATCTGAGACCTCAGCAGTACTCTTTAATACTGCCATCTGTGTTTCTCTAGTAAGCCTACCTTCCTGCTCTTCAGGATGACTATTTTTTCTCATTTCTCAGCTTCTACCTTACTTACTCTCAAGTAGTAATCTTGTTTTATCATCATGGAGAAAATGGAAGTTAGACGTCCACCAAATTTGAAAATACACTGACTTCTGCACCATATCCTTTTTTCTTCTCTTATGTTATTCCTAGGGAAGGATCCCTTCCTGTCAAAATTCAATCCTCCTATTTGTGTTCTTGATTTCAATCCTTCAATATTGCTGCTTTCTCTAGTATCAATAATTTATCTTCCTCAGCTGGAGTATATAGACACGCTCTGGTATCTTCCATCTTAATTTTTAATAATTCTCTTGGTCTTACATTCTCCTTCAGATACTGCCCATTTCTCTGTCTCCCTTTGTAGCCAGTTTTAAAAGAACTCTATCTTCTCTATATTCACTTTACTTCCCATTCATTTTTTGACCATTCCCCAACAAGACTTCTTTCTCTATTCCACTGATACTACTCTTGCTAAGAAAATCAGTTACCTCCATGTTACCAAATCCAATGAATGTTTCCCAGTTCTCATTTTCTTAATTTCACAGAATCATTTGACCACTCCTTTTTCATTAAGACATTTGCTTTTATTCATGGCTTCTGGGATATCACATTGTCCAGCTTCCTGTAAACTACTCTGGTTTCTCTTCTCAGTTTCATTTGTTAGTTCTTTCTCTATTAATATAGAAGTACTCCAGTCTCCTTCCCTGCCCCTGTGTTCTCCTCTCTCCCTGTTCATTTACTAAATCATGTCCTTTCCCCCTGCCTTTAAAGAACATTTTTGTGCTAATTGCTGCCAAATTTTTATCTTCATCCTGAATATCTCCTTCAAACTCAGATTTGAGGCATCTCAATATCAATATATTAAAATACTTATTTAAAAATTTTGTAACTCTTTTAAACTGTATTCAACAGAATTTATCAAAAGTTGGATTTAAAGAGAGTTCAGGACCTTGCTGTTCTTTGTAACTCTCATTATCAATAACAATTACTAATGTAGATTTGTATTTAAGTGGAACAAAGGTGTTAAAATAATAAGATGCCTGGAAATAAGTTTATAAGTTTACTGTGAAGTCTGCCTTGAAGCAAATACTTACTGTTGCTTTGAGAAAAATTCTCGTATGCTCTTTTCACATAAATTGGTGGTCTTATAGTTTTATTTCTAGTTGTGTTTTTTTCTCTTATTTTATTATTTTGTTATGGTTGAACAAAGAAATTGTACGCTGCTATGCATGAACCAGATGGAGTAGCTGGAGTAAGCGCAATCCGAAAGGCAGAACCATCTCTGAAAGAACAGATCCTTGAGCATGAAAGCATTGGCCTACTGAGGGATGCCACTGCTTGTTATGACAGGGCTATTCAGCTAGAACCAGACCAGGTAAGATAATAAATGAAAGGCAACATAATGAAAAGGCCCTAAACTAGGAACTCTGGAGATCTTAGTTTCAATACTGTCTCTACAGGTGTCACAGTGTGTCTAGAAAATAGTTAATCATCTCTGAGCTTGAGTTTCCTGAATGATAAAATTAGAAATGTGAGATGATCTCAAAAATCCTTCAATGCCATTTCTGTGACCTTAGAAATCCCCCAAATGAATGAGGCTTGCTGAGGATAATATTTATATTAAGCTGTGTGTCCAGTTACTCAAATGTATACAATTTTAGTTTGCAATAAAAAGTATAACATATATGTCAATTTTTTAATAATAATTGTGATTTTTCTACAGCCTAGGAAACATTCACATTTCACATGCCCTCTATCATCATCTGTGAATTTCCGAAATGGTCCCTTAGAATCACTAAGCTACAATTATAATGGGGGCAGGTTAACATATCTCATGTTTACAAGGACAGGAAGGGAGTTTAGAATTACTGATTTATAATCTTGGCTTAGATTCTCTCTAATCTTGGAATATTGCTTTTTGTTGTATTTGACATGTTTATTTTCTCAGAAGCTCAGTGTAGAAGGTCTTTATTTTTCACAATCTTGTTTTCAATTTTAAAGAATACTGCATAATCCTATATAACTTTTTAGTTACTAAAGCCCTAAATCTATATTAATGTTATTGTGAACATTGAGTTTTAATTTTTGTGTGAGAAATAGTATTGCCAGTAATCTTTAAACAAAATATTAAAGAGTACTCCTTATTTGATTTGATTTGATTTGAACTATTTGATTTGAACTTATTTGATTTGAACTAAAAATTAGACCAAATCTGGAAAAAATAATAAATTCAGTCTGAGAATTTTTTAGGTTGTCTATGTATTTTTTTAATATTCACGTGTGTTAGGACATTGCTGGGGGCTTTGCCATTAGGCCAAGCAAGTCAGTTGCTGAATTAAGAAGGATAGGCTTAGTGAGGCAAGTAGTACTTTTTAATGAGTATCAGTTAAACTGTCTTTGTTTCCCAGGGTATATTTGAAATGATAATTGCTATTTAAATATTTTTAAATTTCTAGATCATTCATTATCATGGTGTAGTGAAATCCATGTTAGGTCTTGGTCAGCTGTCTACTGTAATCACTCAGGTGAATGGAGTACATGCTAACAGGTAATATTTTTTTAAAGAATTATTTTCTTTTGTTATTATATCTGAATGGGAAAAGTTTAATTAGTGAATTAGGTTGACATAACATTTATTGAAGAAACAAAGTCTTTTTTATGTTTTCGTGGTGTTGGAGATATGCAACAAAAAATATTTTTTTCTACTTTTCCACAAGTTGATTTAGCACTTAATAGCTCATCTTCTGTCCCATGAGTCATCCTTGAATTTCATTTGCTTTAAGACAAACTTTCCAGAGCTCACCTGCTAAGGGTGAGGCTCATAGGAACATATCCAAAAAGTATTTAAGCTCTGTCTGCATTATCAATACCAGTTATTTTCTATGTTGGGGAGGGGAAAACCTTGTGACTGCTTTCTAGAACACCACTCAGACTGTGTGGGTTAATTTTTCCCTAAAGGATTGATAAAAGTGAAAGCTGCCTTCCTTTCTTTAAGAAAATGTGTTTGTTTTAGCAAACCAAATGATGCAAAAAAGTAGTACTTATGTTGTGACAAGGATTAAAGCTGCACAGTTCTTCTGGTCTGGGGAGTAACTGTGGAGGTTGGTTCTGCCCTTGAAGCTGCCTTGCTCTGAGAGCTAAAAGACTTACTTCTTGATAAATTTACCAGATGCCAACTGACTATTGTGGGCAGTGAGATCTGATCAAAAGGGATGGGATCTCGGTTAACCAAAGAGCACAATGGCCACCATTTTTAGTTAGGACTCTCAAAACAGTTCTTCTAAGTATAGTTTCTATAAATCCCAAACTGATTTGTAAAGACCACAATTCTATAATGTTTGAGAGCAGAGAAGCTCACTGTTAATCAGATAGTTTCACATAATGGAATTTATGAAATGAGAGAGGAAGATTTGCAGAGGCAGAGAAAGAATGGTTATATGTTTTAGATGTTTCTCTAGGTTAGTTGAGAGACCTTATAAATAAAGTAGTTTGGGAAGGTTTTCATGACTCAAGCCTAGGTGTCAAGTTTCCTAATTATGCATGCTGGACAGTTAGACTCCTCTTGTCTTCTTTTTGGATCTGGGATACATAGAGCCTCTTGATCTTTTTTTTTTTAAAGATTTTATTTATTTATTTGACAGAGACACAGTGAGAGAGGGAACACAAGCAGGGGGAGTGGGAGAGGGAGAAGCAGGCTCCTGGCAGAGCAGGGAGCCCAATGCGGGACTCGATCCCAGGACCCTGGGATCACGACCTGAGCTTAAGGCAGATGCTTAACAACTGAGCCACCCAGCGCCCCGAGCCTCTTGATCTTTGAGCTGTGAAAAGTCAAGTGTCAATATTCAGTCAAGATTGCTCTGTCCTATTGGATCAAATGGTCATTGAGGACGTGTGTGTTCTCTGGAGAGAATATTTGCATTTAAACAAATATTTCTCCAAAATTATTGACTGTATTACTATTTTTAAGGTACCTGTTTTTGTGGATAAGGTCTCACAGCCTGATCTTCATTGCCTTTTAGTACTTCTTGGTGTAATGCTTCATATGGCACATCCTCTCTAGATAGCAAATCCTGCTAATTCTACTCAGATTTTTATCTTAACATTTTGATATTTTGGCATATGGTGCTGAGCTTGTAAAGTTATTCACAACTGGACTTCAGAAACTACATTTCTAGTGTATTTCTTTTAGCCTTGTTTTAAACCGATTTGGTAGAATTCGTATTTAGAAATTAGAGGGTATCCAGTATTTATGCTGCTATTTTAGGGGTTTTTTTAAGTAAAAAATTCACTCATTTATTACATTTTTTAAATGTGTTTTTACTACAGAAAGAGCAAGGAGGACTTTTAAGGACATTGATCCCAGCCTCTCTCATTCTTTTACCTCGTTTATAATATGAGGATATGTGAGCCTTTCAGTGTTATTAGATAATTAAATGGAAAATGTGCCTAGCCCAGCATGTAGCATATAGCGGATACTCAAATGGTATGATTAATAAAAAGGAAATAATGGGGAAAGCCTAGCTTCTTCTATGTAGTCATGATACAAAATATCACTGCCCCATCTTAATGTCACATAAGTAGAATGCTTAAAAAAAATAATTACCAATGTCATACTGGTTTTATAAACCCAAATTTTAAAGTAACTGAAAATAGTTTAATATATATTGTAGGTAGCTAATTTTATATCCTTTGTTATGCCATTGACACATCATTTGTAACTTTTTTTTTTAAGATTTTATTTATATATTTTAGAGAGAGAGTGCATGCACGGGGAAGGGTGGGGGGGCAAACAGACTCCTTATTGAGCAGGTAGTCCACTGAGCCCTTGACTCAATCCCAGGACCCCAAGATCATGACCTGCGCTGAAACCAAGAGTCAGGCGCCCAACCAACTGAGCCACCTAGGTGCCCCCATTTGTAACTTTCTTAAGCCCTTATTACTGAGTGTCCTATGCACCCCCAACTGCCCCAGACCTACCCACCAGCTCCTATATTTTTGCCTTAAATTTAATTCAAAAATCCCAAGTTCTTAGAATTGCTTACCTCTCAATGTGTATATGTTCAGTTGGCTCTTTTTCCTTCCTGCCCTTTGTTTAAGTTAAGCACACAGCTAATCTTACAACTGCACTTTGTAATTATCCAGGCATTGATTCTGTTCTAATACATGGCACAATTTAATTTGTTATGGAATGGCATTTTTAAATGGCCCTTTTAGAAGAATTACTGAAAAAATGTTTTGGGGGAATGGAAAGTTTAAAAATTGGGGGGTTATTTTGGATGGAGATAATTATTTTGTATCTAAGTACAAAATACAATATAGTACAACAAATAGAGCAATAAATAAATACAGTAAATAGAGTTCTAAAAGAAAAAATCTCTAAATGCCACTTTAAATAAATAGTTGATATTGGCTTCTCTTAATAGGTCTGAATGGACAGATGAATTAAACACATACAGAGTGGAAGCAGCTTGGAAATTGTCACAGTGGGATTTGGTGGAAAACTATTTGGCAGCAGGTAAAATTACTTCTTATAATATAAGCAGTTTTAATATGCTATAAATATTCAGACTTAAGTAGCTAAGTAACATCTATAATTAATCTTTCAGCTTGTTTTATAATTGCCTTGTTTAGTTGTTCAAAATAGAATGAAACCATCTGTTCCAGTATTTTTGCTGACCATTTTACCAAATGAATAAAGCTTGTTTTGGGGCCGTATGGCATTCCTTGACTCTACATTTATTTTTCAGATGGGAAATCTACAACATGGAGTGTTAGACTGGGACAGCTACTATTATCAGCCAAAAAAAGAGATATCACAGCTTTTTATGACACACTGAAACTAGTGAGAGCAGAACAAATTGTACCTCTTTCAGCTGCAAGCTTTGAAAGAGGCTCTTATCAACGAGGATATGAATATATTGTGAGGTATATGGGGGGTGTCCATCTTTATATTCCTCGTGTATAATGGTCTTCTGACAGACTTGGAATGTTTTGGTTAGTAAATAAGTGATAGTATATTTGGTATCATGTGCATCTACACACAATGGCTCTTTTATTCCTTTATCTCACAATCACCTTATTTTTTTCGGTTTTATTTTGTTTTGTTTTTTAAGTAATCTCTGTGCCCAGCACGGAGCTTGAACTCACAACCCTGAGATCAAGAGTCACATGCTCTACCAACTGAGCCAGCCAGGTGCCCTCCCCCTTTAGTTTTTAAAAAAACGTTCTAATATATATCCCTTTCATTGGGAAGGCAATTATGAGACTTCTAAAAAATAAGAAAAATATCTTATATTCATCCTTTTGTAATGTCATATTGTACTTGCTCTATAACTACTCTGTTAGTATAGACATCTGTGCCTGGCACTTTGGTGCTCAGTGTTTTTTAGTTTCCTCTCCTTCTCATTTAGAAATGCATTTGACATTTTCCTCCCAAAAAATGTAGGCATTACACTAGTAGAAAGGAAAATTAACTTTTAGAGGTAAGGAAGAAAACTATGAAAAACATTTCAGGTCTGTTAGTTCACCTGAGGAAAATAATAGATGTTATAATTTAAAAAATAAGTAAGAACAATTTTTTTTTAATTTAGAAGAATTTACTGTAATTTGTATTGCCCCTTTGGTAATAGCTTAATGAAATCATAGGTTGGACCACTGAGATTAAATCTCTTCTGTAGCTACTCAGCTGCGTCCTTGAACACTGAGTCATAGACACTGAGTATTATAGATGGAAGAAAAGCTAGTGTGAATGTGTCATGAGTGTCTCCATCATTCTTAGAAAAAATAAAATTGCATCATTTCACAATATTTTGCTGGCATCTACTATGTCAGGCTCTCTTATAGAGGCACCAGCAATATATGCAGATATTTCTGTTGATTTATAGTGGATCTGTATTTTCTTTTGTTGTTATATAGGTAATAAAATTCATACACTTAAATTTAGTTTTATATACCCCTCTCCAATTTAATTAATAGGGATTTGGGGACCATAGCAAAGCACTAAACATTTAAATCAACATAAGTTGTGTTTTATATCCAATTTAAAAAGATAAAAATATTACTGTTTATATACCAAGAATATATATTGGTTAAAGTTCTTCCAAAGAAAACTTCACATTTCAGATTCTTGATTGCTAATTTGAGTATGTGCTTTGTATATGAGATTAATAGGCTGAATATGATAACATTTTAACATAGGCTTATCTGTCTTCAGATTGCACATGTTGTGTGAGTTGGAGCATAGCATCAAATCACTTTTTCACCAGTCGCCAGGTGACACTTCCCAAGAAGATTCTCTAAACTGGGTAGCTCGACTAGAAATGACCCAGAATTCATACAGAGCCAAGGAACCCATCCTGGCTCTCCGGAGAGCTTTATTAAGCCTCAACAAAAGGTTTTCATACTTCTTTTTTTTCATGTCAGTAATCATGAATTTACTATTATATTTGCTTATTACTTGGGAATATTTATCTTTCTTAATTTTCTCTCTGAATCTATATTTTTCTATTATCAGTTGTCAAAGCAATACTATGTAAGTTGAAATGAACCTAGAACTTGAGAATTACTTTTATATGCAATAGATCTTTTTTTATTGTTAATATATCTGGGAGAGGTACAGATATAAAGTCAGTATTATAGTTTTCATAGACTTGTAATTGACAAAAATTGAGCACGCTAAGAAAATTAAAATTAGTTTTTTAACAAATTAATCTTCTTTGATTTCTTTGAAATAGTATATTGATAAGGTTCCATGTTAGGAAGAGATATTTTCAGTTAAATTGTTGAGTATACTTAAAAATGCTCTTTGCCCCTGTTTTTGTCACATTCATTTAGACCAGATTACAATGAAATGGTTGGAGAATGCTGGCTGCAGAGTGCCAGAGTCGCTAGAAAAGCTGGTCACCACCAGACAGCCTACAATGCTCTCCTTAATGCTGGAGAATCACGACTTGCTGAATTGTATGTGGAAAGGGCAAAGTGGCTATGGTCCAAGGTAATGGCCAAGAGAACATCATCGTGTGTATATATGTATATATTCTGTTGTAAATGATCCCTAATCCACGTTCAGAATCGTTTTCTGTCATCTTTATCATTCTACCATAATTTAGAAGAAACCGTTCCTTCTTTCCTGAAGTCCCTAAACGTCTTTCCATTTCAAGATGAAAGTGCAGTTCTTTTGGTTTTCATCTGTTTTCCTTTTTTTTTCTTGAGGGAAGCAGCCAATTTTTACTTTGGTTTTACTTCCTATATATATATAGGGTGCATGTAGTAGGCACTCAAAAGATATTTGTTAAATGAAAATAACACTGTTCCCTACTTATATCCTTGGTAGATAATTAGTCCAGTTTTATTGTCAAGATTAATTTCTAATCTAGCCTATCAGGAAGGGCTTAGCATAAGAACAAAAGTCCCCAGCAATCCCCAGATTGAAGCAATAGTAAATGAGAAAGAGGCTTTTTGAGTATCTGAACTACTTGCAAAGATTATGCCCCAGATTTAAATGGTTATTACTTACATATCTCCTTATGCTTGCCACCAGTCTAGAATTAGTAGTAAGCATTGCATGTTCTGAAATTGACATTTAGCAACTATAGCTGGTACCATCTGTGATTGTGGAGGCGAAGGTAATGATTCACCTTATACTTGTCAGTACCTGGTCATTTTCCGAGCTAGCATTAGTCTATGTATTTTAATACCATAAATTCAGTATGTTGAAAATGCAGTATCATTTACTGTTCAATAACTGCTTCTGTATTCTCTGTTTTTCTAAATAGGACTCTATTGTATCCTCTCATCTGAGACAGAGATCTGGGCATCAGATTTGAACTCCTTCCTTTCCCTCATTTTCCACATCTAAGTGGAGACTAAATTTTCCTTAGAAATATCTTTTGATTTTTTTTTTTTTCCTTAAGTAAGCTCTACCTCCAACCTGAGTTTCGAACTCATCACCCTGAGAGCAAGTGTTGCAGGCTTGGGACACCTGGGTGTCTCAGTCGGTTAATCTTTTGACTCTTGATTTCAGCTCAGGTCATGATCTCAGGGTAGAGCCTCCCACACACTTGCTTTCTCTAAAAAAAAAAAAAA